AGGGCAGGAAGGAGTTTGGGGAATTCCAGAAACATGAGTCTTAAGGTAGAATGAGCAAGATGGAGAGGAGGAGCAGGAGACCAGGAGGGGTAAGAGACCTCTCCCTTTAGTAGACGTAGGCAGGAGCCCATCATGAAGGGCCATGTCATGGGAATGTTAAGGGGAAGAGGTGATCATTTAGGAAATTTTACATATTACAGACTGTGAGTTACAGAGGGCAAGTTCCTGACATCCCTCTTCGATAACTCCTTCAATGAATCTTATGCTTCTCTCTCTTAAATAGTGAATTCAAGATCTTGTCCCCAAATCTCTTTTCCCTAATATCCCCCACTCCTTTAGTTATTGTGGTGGCCATGACTACTGTTCATTCTATCTGGTTCTCATCTTTTCTGGGCACCCTTTTCAGTGGGCCACGTGAGTACATCTGGCCAACGGTCTATGAGCAGGAGGAATGACTTCACTCCCAGCCTGCAGTATCTGATTAGCAGGGCACAAGCCCCGACTTCCTCTATTCCCCTTGTAGCCATGGTTTCAGGTTCGAGACGGTACAACTACAAGATGATGGGGCTCTGGAAGCCTGGGCTGCCAAGCTGCCACATGGAAGTCAGTGCCCTGGAGAGTCAACCAACACAGGAAATCTGGGCATAAGAAAACGTGCCTTCTGTTAAATCACAGAGATTTTAGGGTTATCCCACCGTAACTAACCTAACTGAATGGTACACTGATATAATTGAGTGGCTCTCAAAATTTTGAGTCTTAGGAGTTCTTTTACTCATAAAGATTATTAAGGACCCCAAAGAGCTTTTGTTTATGAGGGTCATACCAATAGCTATATGTCATTTTGGAAATTGTAATTGAGAAATTAAAAACATTTCTACTTCATTTGAAAATAACAAACCTATTACACATTAATACAAACGTATTCTATGGAAAACAATTAGGTTTGTTTTTTTAATTTAGTGAGATGAGAGCCAGTGCTTTACATTTTTATAAATCTAATGCCTAGCTTAATAGCAGACAGCTGGGTTCACATGTCTACTCTCCTATGCTGTTTTGCTTAAAGTATATGGAGGGGTCGCCTGGGTGGCTCAGTCGGTTAGGCGTCCAACTTCGGCTCAGGTCATGATCTCACAGTTTGTGGGTTCGAGCCCCATGTCAGGCTCTGTGCTGACAGCTCAGATCCTGGAGCCTGCTTCAGATTCTGTGTCTCCCTCTCTCTCTGACCCTCCCCTACTCACGCTGTATCTCTCTCTCTCTCTCTCAGAAATAAATGAAAACATTAAAAAAAGCATATGGAGAAAAGTAGGTCTTATACAGATATGTATTTGGAAAAGGAAGGAGTATTTTAATGGGTTTTTCAGATAAGTGTGGTTATCATTTTTGATATGTCACAAAAATTAGAAAAATGGTAGCTTCTGAAAGGTTAGTTGCAATATTTAATCTGAAACTAAATTAATAAACCGTACAGACTCTGTTACATGAAGTTCCACTGGTCTATCTTACACTCTGAATGGATTTTACCCAGGCCTGATTTTGTAACACACACTGACCATTTGGAAAATATTGGCTTGCTCACTTCTGCAGCTCTTCCAAATGTTGACACATTTCCTCATATTATATTACTAACAATATCATAACAGTTTTTAAAGCTTTGGGAAGCTATCAAGCTCACAATGACAAATACAATTTTCCAAATTTCCAATTTTTGCTTGAAAGCTCAAATTTTACAATTATAACAAATACTGTTGGTTGTTTTCCTCGAAGAACAGGAAACATTTTTGAGGAAATGTCTGCCAAATACTCAAGTTTGAATAACCACAGCGTATTTGCTTTTCTTTCAAGTAAAAATTGTTTCCCCTGAAAAAATCTACCAACTCAGCTGGCAACTCCATCATACAAAGGCTTTTCCTCAAGACTGAGATTGTACTTCAATATGCACCAAGACAGGATATTAAATTATAATCCAGCATTCCCTTCTCTCACTAGTCCCATTCTATCCATTGTTATTTGGGTAATCATCTCACTGCCTTTGTAAGCCCTGTGACTGTAGACCCCATGTCTTTTTCTCCCTTGTAACATCCATGGGATTCAGTAGTCATCATTACTGAATGAGTGTATCCTATCTTCCCAAATATATCGTAAGCACATTGAAATAGGGATTCTATGTTCTTCTTTGAATCACCAACACCTAGGACAGGGTGGTGGGCCCAACAGAGCACAACTGTTGTTCTTTATGATAATAAAGTTTATTATGTACATTATATTAGGATAGCCAGTAATAATGTGAGCAGTAAGTAAACTTTATCCATTTTCTTTCAGTATGTATTGTAGAGGAACTTTGTAAGTATGGTTTGCAGAATGGCAGAAGGAAAGCACACATACATGCGCGTGTGCGCAAACACACACACACACCGATTAGAGATCCCTACTCAAGAAAGAGAACTTAATAGGAACAATGTGGTCCCACAGAGCAGGGTTGGATGCAGGATGTCAGTGTGCATTTCCTCCCACCATGGGATGTTTTGGTGACACTGAAGTCTGCACACATCGATTGGAAGAAAGTCACTGTCCATTTATTCTCAGCTTTATGTCATCATTCTGGAAAATTATGCTCATAATCCATTTGCTCTCACTCCATGTAATGAATGCTTACAACCACAAAAATCTTCTAGTTCAAGAAACCAATAGTATCAACAAGGCCATCGTCTATCTGGGGCAAAAACAGAATCAGTGTCCAGGGGTCAGTGAAAGGTCTTCATGTCTCAGCTTCCCAAGGTCCCAGAAACACCACCCAGAAATCAACAAGAAAACATTTGCACATTAAGCATGTTGGTGAGAAATGTATAATGTGAGGAAGTATATGTATGTATACTGTGCAGGTTTAAATTCTATGAACCTGCACAAGCGGGGGAGGGGTGGAAAGAAAGGGAGACACAAAATTGAAGCAGGCTCCAGGCTCCAAGCTGTCAGCACAGAGCCTAAAATGGGGTTCAAAATCACAAACCATGAGATCATGACCTGAGCCGAAGTCAGACACTTAACCAGCTGAGCCACCTAGGCGCCCTGAGACAGCAATTATTTTTAAAGAACCAAGTTTTTGTTAGCATTGCTCTTGCCCCTGAGCCCATTGAAACACTAATGTCATCAGTCTTCCCTCTATTTTGTAAATCACGGATTTAAATATAATCCAATTGCGAGTGTCAAATTTACACTACACTCTAGTCAACTGAGTTATGCATATATGCATTACTCAATAGTGTCTTCAGGATGAGTAAGTAAGCCACATCAAATTGTCCTTAAAAAACAGCTACCATGAGCTACCACGCTATTGCCAAGAACATATTCTGACATTAAATGCTTTCTTCTTTCTGAAAGATTAGTGTTACTTCTTACATTCTCTTTTTATAGCAGCTTTATTAAAATACCCCATATCATAAAATCCACTTTTGAAAGTGTAAAATTTGGTGGGTTTTAGTATATTTACAGAGTTGTGCAACCATTACCACTAATTTTAGAACAATTTTAACAATCATAAAGAGATCCTGTACCCATTAGCAGTCACCCCCTGTCCCCACCTTCTCCAGCCCCCGATAACCTTACTAATCTACTTTCTATGGATTTACCTGTTTGGGGTATTTCATACAAACAAGTTCATAGATTATGTGGCCTTTTGTGTCTGGCTTCTTTCATTTAGCACATTTTCAAACATGTATCAATCCTTCAGTTCTTTTTCATAGCCAAAAAACATTCCACTGTAGAGATATGCCACATTTTGTTCAACCATTCATCAGCTGATGAGCATTTAGGTGTTTCCACTTTCTGACCATTATAAATAATGCCTCTATGGACATTGTGTATAAGGTTTTATGGGAACACATTCTCAGTTCCTTTGGGATTTATCTATGAGTGGATTAAAAACACTTTAAGGATTAAGTCCAGGGATGAGAATAAGTCAAAAGGTTTTTTTTCACAGATTTGTCAAGCCCCCAGGACTAAAGGGTCATTAGAAGGGGAAAATGAGTTATTAAATAACAAAGGCAAAGTCAGAATAATAGGTAATAATAGTCTAAATAAACATTTATCTTGTCCTGGCCAGTTTAAGCTAATTTTAATATTACATAATTAACTTGGAAAGATATTCAAAAACACTAAGAAAACAATTATAAATCTGTCTTGCTTTTTTAAGATATAAATTTCTAGGTTCTTTTAGAATAGAAAATATTAATATTTAACAAGGATACTTTTGGTTTAGTGATTTATGATTTCAATACTATGCCTACTGTTGTGTTCATATACCCAACCACTATTAAAGATTCTAAACTGTATTTTAAAAAATTCTAACTCACCTAATGAAGAGTACTACAGGGCTTAAAGTTGTTTGAGAACAGAGATATATACTTCAAAAAACTGGAGAATAAGGGGTTTCTTCTTGAAATAAAAGGCCAGAATCTTGAACACTGGCAGACAACTGGCTGCCTTCATCTGAGGACAAAAGAACCAATGTTATGGTTAAAAATCATTTCTATATCTTTTAATGTAAAGACAGAACATTGAGAGTTAAAATAATCAGGCAGGACTCCAGTTTTGAGAAAAAAAAAAAACCTGTCAAATGCTTTGGGTTTTTCTACTTTCAAATTCAGACATATAGTAAATTACAGATTTTGGGGACAAAATAACACTCCCTGCATGGTGAACATTTTGATAGTCTAGTTGAATCTATTTTCAGTATCCATTTGGTACTAATTTCCCCAAGTTTCAAAGCACAAAAGTAGTAAATGAAATTGTAAAGCTCATATCCAAGGTACTTAGAAAAATAATAGCCAGTATATGTTGGCTGTTACTTTGTAAAGCCTGGTTCTGCTTGAAGAATTACTGCAATAGCAATAAGAGAGGCATGCTTTCCCACCCAGGATGTAATTTTCCTAGTTGTGCTTGCCTAGAATTCTATAAAGATAGAATCTTTGGAAAAAAGAAACAAGGCCAAAGTTTTGTGCAACCTATGGCTTTTACTTTTTATTACCAACACACAAAGTAAATGAAAAAGTATCAATTATTTCCCTTTAACTCTCTGCTTCCTATTGCCAGATGCTTTAAATAGGATAGAAGAAGCAAGGCAACAAAACAGATTCCAGCCACTACACTGAAGGTTGACATATCAATGTTTCATTTGCAAAGAGTCAATAGTAAAGTCATAACTATAAAAAGAAGGAAAACAATTATCGCTCAAGTGACTCCTTAGTTCCTGAGTTTTTTCCAGAAAGAATATGAGCCATATATTAGTGCAGAAAAAAGCTACTTTTTCCTTTTTATAAATTTCTTTGCTTCTTTCAGAAGCTCTTCCATGTCTTCCTTCTCTTGGTCTTCCTGTTCCGGTTCCCAGTCAGAATCTTCATCTGTTGGCTCATATTCTTCCTCATCATCTGGAAAACTGTCATTGAGGTCACACTCATTGGATTGCCCAACATTATCACTGTCTTCACCTGAGATGCTTCTCACTGAAAAAAAAAAAAATCGGTACACAACAGATCAATCACCACGACAATTTAGTTAGATACCTAACTGTAAAATGTCTTTCTCTGACAAGAATTTTTACTTAAGATATAGCTAACCACCACAAATTTCTAGAAAGGGGGCTAAAATTATTCTTTGTTAGAATTCTAACTTTTTAAAACAACATTTGTTTAATTCTAAGTCTTCTACCAAGAGGATCTTGAAATTAAAATGTCCTGTGAAGGCCCCTGGGAGGATCAGTCAGTTGAGCATCTGACTTCGGCTCAGGTCATGATCTCACAGTTTGTGGGTTCAAGCCCCACCTTGGGCTCTGTGCTGACAGATCAGAGCCTGAAGACTGCTTCAGATTCTATGTCTCCATCTCTCTCTGCCCCTTCCCCACTTGTGCTCAGTCTCTTCCAAAACTAAACATTTAAAATAATTTTAAAAAAAATTTAAATGTCCTAATATCATATGTTTGCATGAACAGGAGGATTAGGAGGAACTTAACGGAGGACCATGGGGGAGAAGAAGGGGGGAAATGGTGGGGGAAAGGGGGAGAGGCAAACCATGAGACTCTTGAATGCTGACAAAAACTGAGGACTGATGGATGTGGGGGGGGGGATGGGCACGGAGGGGGGCACTTGGGATGAGCATTAGGTGTTATATGGAAACGAACTTGACAATAAACTATTTGTAAAAAAAAATTTTTTTTAAATGTCCTGTGAGATTCCTAATAATGGTTCCTTAATAATATAATCAAGGGTGCTTGGGTGGCTCAGTGGGTTAGGCATCTGACTCTATTTCGGCTCAGGTCATGATCTTACTGTTCCTGAGTTCAAACCTCACACCAGGCTTCATGCTGACAGCACAAGCCTGCTTGGTTGGGATTCTCTCTATCTCTCTCTCTGCCTTTCCCCTGATCTCTCTCTCTCAAAATAAATTAAATATATAAATAAATAAATAATATCATAATCATATTCACGCTATGCTACCCTCCGGGGTGGTAGAATGTATTTTTGTCCCGGTTATTTACTGTCCCTCTCTGTCACATGATTATATTTAACCACCCTACTGACATCAGATATGGCCAAAGAAAAGTGGGTGGAAATGGTATGTGCCACTTCCAAGGAGAAGCTTTAAGAGCCTTTTTGTAGTTCTGCTGCTATCATTTTCCCTCTGCCACAGACTCCTTCATGTCCCAGATCCTTTAGCTCGGTTTCCAGGATGAGACTATACATGGGACAAGGCCACAGCTAACACACAGCTGTAACATGGAGGCTATTATCACAGTAAACCTGGCACAGTCTTATTAACATACCAGGTTTGTGATGAAATGAGAAAATATGAGTCTATTCATTTTGGAAAGTTTAGTTTTATAGATCTTCTGGTTCATGTTTCAGTTACTGGGATTACTGAAAATATCACGATGACTATGGTAACAGCCATTAGAATGTATAGGTTTCTAAACAATAATACTAGGATTATAATACTAGAATTCTTCTGTCTCCAAATCCATTTCTTCCCTCATCCCACTCTTTTATTTTCTTTCCATTGCAAGCAACAGGCTTATTTTAAGATAAGCAGTGAGAGGCTCTAAGATGATATGGACCATTTAAGAAACAAGTAGGAAGATTCTATCTGGAAATCTCTGAATGGCAGAGGACAATCCCTGTGATGAACACCACCAAATGTATGAGTTAAAAATAGTTTTGTTTGTACTTCTGTATATGCTTTACTTCACCTCTTCCTAAAATGTTCACATGTAATAGACAGATGTAACTTACATGAAACTCAAGATATTCGATGAGGAAAAAATGAGAATGATGACAAAAAAAACCCCACAAAAAAGCAAGGTAATTTATCTGTCTTCTTAACTGCCATAGGCTGGACATTCACATTTTTCTTAATATCGCTACTCATTTCCAGAGAGGATTTGAGCCAGCTTATATTAATAAAGTCATAAAAAATACAAATGAAAGTAGAAACTAAGAACGTAAAAACCAGAATGTAAACATGTCAATCTTCATTTTAAACATAATTATTATAAATTGAGCATTAGGTTTTTCCCCAAGTTTCTTGGTAGCCAAGGCTACAAAGGCTACATAATGATTTGCACTGTGCTTATTAGCATAAGAAGCACACCAGTCCCTTAAGGGAAATCTAGCACTGTATTTATTTGTATACATTTCTTATCTCCTGTAAGTATCCTGAGGGGATGTTTTATGTCTAGCTAATCTCAACTTCCCATATAACTTTTATGATAGAAAACATTTACAAAAGCATTTAGAGGGCAGTTTGCAGATGAAGAAAAGAGGGAGGAGGGAAGAACATCAATATCTCTTCTTGGCCACTCTGCTTTGGAAGTATCTCATATACATCACCAGTGACATCTCGGTAAAGCATTTCCTTTTAGATTCAGAAATTACCCTGCAGATTTACAAGAAAAACATACATAAAGCTGAAACAACCTCAGGTTCTCCCCCTGCTTTACTGGCTGTTCTTCTAAGGCTGGACCTTCTGCATTTCCCCAACCTCTAAATTTTAGAGTGTTCAAGTTTCTCGCTGGGACCTCTTTTCTAACATACTCCAGTCTTATATCCTAAATTCCCAAATGTATACCCTAAGCCCTGACCACCACCTGAATTCCAGATTCTTTTATCTCACTGCCTATATACTCTCTCTACTTACTAACAGGCATCCCAAACGTAATATTCTCAGAACACAACTCTTGAGGTACTTCACCCAAATCCTGTCATTCTCATATCAGTCATGAGTATATGACTTCTCCAACCTTCCACGATCTCTTGGAGTCATCCTTGAATACCCCCCACTGAAAACCCAACATCCAATATGTCAAGATATCCTAGTGGCTCTGCCATCAAAATCTATCTGCTACTTCTCACCGCATCTCTTCCATACTCTGGTCCCCATTCCATTATCTACTGTTTTCAACCAGTTCCAAGGTTCACCTAACTGGTTTCTGCCTTCCACTCTTGTCTATTCTCCACAGATGAGCCGGAAAATGTTCCAATAGCTTTCTATCTCACTCTGAATTAAAACTGAAGTCCTTACTTACAGGTCCTGGCCTCTTAGACCCTACACAACTGGCCCACAGCTAGCTTTTCTGATACCATCTGCCATTCTTCACTTACTTTGTTTCAGTTCTACCCTTTCTCTACTGCTCCTTGAATAGTACAAGCAGGATCATCGCCAGAGCTTCTGGAGTTCTCTTCCCCTTGCCTGGAATACTCTTCTCTCAGATAATCACCTCTTACTCTCTCCTCCGAGTCTCTTGCTCTAATGTCAAATTTTCAGGGTCCGTTTACCATCCTACCTGAAATGGCACCTGCCTCCCACCACACACACCTTTGTCATTCTGTCCTCTTACATAACATTTTCTTCTTAGCAGTTATCACTATGTGACATCATATAGTTGTTTATATGCACACTGCCCTTTGTAAAATTCTATAAGAGCAAAGCTTTGCCTCTATTGTATCCTCGACTCTAACAACAGTGCCTACCTAACATATAGAAGACACTTAATATGTATATTTGTTTAATATATGAATGACCAAATGAACAATTTGCAAATCAACTGCTGAATACCCTTAGTTTTACAGAAACACTTATTATAATCTACACTTTTAAGCCCTAACCTGTCAATATAATGAATCACAATGAAGGCTTTTATTTAAATCCTGCTAACTGAAGGGGCATTTAAGCCTCAATGAAAAATTGAAATCTTTAGCAACTTACTGGGCAGGCTCATTTCTTGAGCAATAGGCCATATTATGTTTCCTCAAAAAATTGTTTTTATCTATCAAATTGTTATTTACATAAGCATTACACTCATATTCTTTTAATTGGAGGTTCAGAATCTGTGAAAAAAAAAAAATCCATAACAGAACTCCAAGTAGTCAAATTTCATCCATTTTACTTTACATGGACAGGTATTTTGTGCTTTAAGTAAAAGCACCTGAAGAGTCAAACTCATGACAAAAGCAAAGTCAGCTCTAGAATTCAGCTCTGTGTCCTTTGTGAGCAGTGTCATGTCCACACCTCTTAATAGGGTTTTAAACTCTGACATGTGATTATCTTTCGGCAATCAATTATAATGGACCCTCTTTAGCAAATACAATGAGTGACTTTAAAATATTCCATAGTGTAGGGGCACCTGGGTGGCTCAGTTGGTTAAGTGTCTGACTCAATTTCAGCTCAGGTCATGATCTCATGGTCTGTGAGACACAGCCCTGCATTGGGCTCCATACTGACAGCTTGAAGCCCACTTAGGGTTCTCCATCTCTCCCCTCTCTCTGCCCTAGCCTCCTCTGCTCACGCACATGCTCTCTCTCCCTTTCTCTCAAAATAAATAAACATCTCAAAAATAAATAAATATTCTAAAATGTAAATGCCATCTAGATATGCATTTACCTTTTTTAAAAACTTTTTAATGTTTATTTCTTTTTGAGAGAGACAAAGTATGAGCGGGGGAGGGGCAGATAGAGAGGGAAACACAGAATCTGAAGCAGGCTCCAGGCTCTGAGCTGTCAGCACAAAGCCTGATGCGGGACTCGAATCCACAGACTGTGAGATCATGACCTGAGCCAAATCAAACCCTTCACTGACTGAGCCACCCAGGCGCCCCACCTTTTTTTTTTTTTTTTTTTTTAATTGCTGAAGGTGATTTTAGAAAAATTACAGTTTCTGCTGTTTGGTGTAACTGGGACATGCAGATGGTGAAACTTTATTTATTTGGAAAATGCTCTGAATCAGCACACCTATTGATCTGAATTATTATAGGATTTCCTGAATCATGGAAATAATCTCAGGAAGCATGGTTCTGAACACCTGGGTGGCTCAGGCAGTTAAGCATCTGACTTCGGCTCAGGTTATGATCTCATGGCTTGTGAGTTCAAGCCCCGCGTCAGGCTCTGTTGCTGACAGCTCAGAGCCTGGGGCCGGCTTCAGATTCTGTGTCTCTGGCTCTCTCTGTCCGTCCCCCACTCACACTCTCTTTCTCTCAAAAATAAACAAACATTAAAACAATTAAAAAAAAAAAAAGGAGTGAGGTTGTTTCTTCCAAATCAAGGCAAACTCAGAAGTCATTTTTTTCTATACTTTCACTTAGAAGCTTCTTGCTGCTAATTATTTCTGTTTTTATGTGATAATCTATCCCCCTCATCCAACAAAAAGTCTCTTTAAAAAGCAGCATGGTAAGAGGAAGAGAACAGACTGGAGGGTAGAAAAGTTCAAAGATCTGGGTCATCAACAAGCCCATAAAAAATGAACAAGTCACTTAACTTAATGTCTTAATTGAATTTATGTTTTTATCTATGAGTCAAAGGATGTTGATTAAATTACTCCAAAAATCCTTTCTGACTCTGAAGTTCTCATTTTAAGGCCAAAGTAGGAATCTTCATTTTCTCTACAGATCAGTGAATATGAAATGTAGGAATGGACTGACAGCTTGACTGCACAAAGCAGTACAAGAGAAATAGGCTGCCACTTATTTTGAAAAATTGATAGGTAACATCGAACTTCCATGATGGAAAATAACCACCTTTAGCGAAGAAACAAACTCTTAACATGTTTAAAACAACATAGTATTAGCTATTTGGGATTAGGCTGTAGTAATTTCTGACTTTTCTATTTATGAAGAGGAATGTATGATATCAGAATGGCAATTCCTAAATTTGTATCTAATCTTTCCTTTACAGTTTAAAATTTCCCTGTAAACTCTTACCCCAAGAACATAAGTCTGAAGAGCTAGTGAAGAGTACAGTGACAAACACATGCTGGAAGAAATGCTGGTTTTAAAGAAAGACAAGATTGTTCCAAATTGCTGATTTTTGCGACAGATTTTGGGTGTTAGGATCTAAGATGACAGATGTCTCACAGCAGATTTAGAGCTTAATGTCAATAATTCTTCAGATTTTATTATCCTTTCTTTCCCATTCTGATATACTTTATTATACATGAAATTTACTTCTTTTTTAAAATACCACTGCACTAGCCTTTTTCCTTTCCCCAAATCTCTCAGCTTTTGCCACATTAAGCAGCAGTTTATATAATCTCATCTAAGTTCCATTAATTTTCATAATAGCTTTTAGAGCTTTTGGGTTCTACTTCTGGGGAAAAAAGCATATATAAGTAAATGTGTGCATACAAGGGCAGAACTAGAGAAATATTAAAATAGCTATCAGTAGAACATTCTAAATTTTCAGCCATCAATGGTACCAACAGCCTAGACTAATGCATATCACATAATGATAAAAGCCAGAATGACTTCAATAATCAGATGATAAAATGCTGATGATAATTTCTTTTAAATGCTCTCAACAGGTAAGTTAGCTACAAAAGTATAGAATAAAATTTTCCTGGCACTGATTACTCTTGCATTCAATACCTTGTGCCAAAACCACAGAACTCTAAAATTTTAAGGTGTGGAAAGTTGGTGAAAATTTAAACCAATTAGATATGTAATAAGTTTAACACATGACAGCACCAAACTTACAGAAAACAAAATCACTACATAAATTGTTGCATGTGTGGAAGAACTCCTTAGACAGAAGTGTTTAGAAGTGCTACAAATTAGAAGTCAAACAGTAAGAGTTCAATGCAGTTATTTTAATATTGGTACTATATTAAATTCTATTGTCTTATTGTATAATTATGATACCCCCAACCCAAATTCAACATGCTTGAATTTTTAAAAAAGGAGAGGGGGCGCCTAGGTGGCTCAGTGGGTTAAGTGTCTGACTCTTGATTTTGGCTCAGGTCACGATCCTGTGAGGTCAGGCTCCACGCTAGGCATGGAACCTGCTTGATGTTCTCTTTCTCTCTCCTTCTGCCTCTCCCTTTCTTTCTCTCTCAAAAAACAAAAACAAAAGCAAAACAAAACAGAAAAACAAAAAAAACTACCTGGTTCTTCCTCCTGATCTCTATGATATGTAAATATCATCCCCAGGCTCCTGATAAACTGTATCATAATTCTGAGTCATCATTATTTCCATTACGTCATCCCAGCCCCCTCACCATAACCAATTAGTTGGCAGATCTGATCTTTCCTTCAAAATCTCCCTTGTATCCAATTCTATCTTTCCATTCTCATGGTGGCCACTCTAGTTCTGGCCCTTTGTTCAACTGCCTAATTAACACCCAGAAGACTTCTCCCACTCTAATTCAGACTGATGTCAGCAGCTTGATTTGGATAAAATACTGCCTTGCCATTATTCGCCAATGTACCCACATCTTTGTTCTAGTTTTCAAGACCTTCTATAATCTGCCTCAATACATATTTTTAGTATCATCCACAGTCACTACAGAGACTCTCGACATTAGTTAAACTGATCCACTTGCTAACTGCTAACTCCACACACAACTTATATTTTCTACCTTGATGTCCTTGATTATATATTATTTACTTTGTCTGGGATATCCTATACCTACCAACCACAAAGTTAAGAGACAAAGATGATTTAAATCTGACCAAGACCAACTTCAATACCCACATCAAGGTCTGCCCTGATAAGTCCAAGCAGAAAGTTCTCCTGCCCCTTCCTTGGAGATTTTGCCACAAGAATATAGACCCATAGCTGATTTTCACGGATCTCTGTAACTCTGCTCACTTGGAAGATATAATAAATGAATAAATAAGTATATAATAAATCAGTATACAAATGAGATTAGGAACTTGGGTGATGTTAAACTTTAAGGATTTGGGAGATGAGAAAAACAAGGATGTTAGAATTCAGTGTTAGATATCGCTAAATTAAGAAATACAATGAGGACCCCCCAACATTCAATTTAATATTTGAAATACTCCAGACAACTTAATTTCTAAGTTTTAGAGTTGGAAGAATGTTCTGACTGTATTGCCACATAACAACCCTTGAAAGTAGATTGAAAATAAAAATATCTATACTTTAAAAACTGTCTTTCCAATGAGAAGTTTTTCTTACAGTTGTTGCAAAAATATGCCTTCTTTCAGAAGATTCTCTAATGATAATTCAAAGAGACTTTTCAAAGAAAATTCAGATATTTTAACTATGCTATCTCATGCATATTAATAGTTTTTAGGAAAATGGTTCCTATTTCTATAGATATAGATGTATCAAATGCCTTTTCACAGGACAGTGTTAAACTCTGTCAATAAAATATAGCTCAAATTGATATATATTACATGAGTCCTGGAAGGAAAGTTCATTTAACCATCATACATGCTATATCATTAGATAGAACCCCAGTAAAAAAAAGTATAACATATAATATCTATACCCTATTAGCTCAGATAAAATGAGTTATTTGTGTCTGGAGTAGTAAAGCATGAAAGTGTATCTCAAAGAGAAATTTCAAATGGAATTCTCTTATGGTGAAATTATTTTTATCACTTGGTTACAAGGTGATTGTGTTTACGCACACACAAGTGCATGGGGTCACAGACTGCATATTATGCATTTTATTCCCTCACTCTGTGGGCAGAAATGCTGTGTGCTGAATTGGCCTCTGCGTTATATAAATGATATGAAGAACCAGAATTTGTTAAAGGTAAAAAATTAGAGTTTGGAAGCAGGGGAAAGAAAAAGTAAAACAGAACTGCCGTACCTAGGACTGAAGGAAATTTGATCGTTGCTTCTCTGGTATCTGTCCTCCCTCTCCTTCTTCCAAAACTTTCGTTTCTGTTGGGGATCCCTGTGGTTCTGAAGAAAGGGACCCTACCTTGGTTCCGGGGGTGGTACAAACTAATCAGTGGTCACAGTGATTGGTCCAAGAGTAAGAATGTGATCTAATCAGTAAAAAAAGTGGATTTTCTGATTTTTCATAGGAACGGTGAGCTAAAGTTATTCATCCTCTCTCTCTACTTACATGTGTGCTGATAAGGATGCACATAGTTCCTTCGTGGGGACAGGAGCCAGTCTTAGGATAATAATGACCCCTCTCAGGACAGAATGATGAAAGGATATTGGGTCATTGGTGACACTGTTGACATTACTAATGAGTCAAAGCAGTAATCTTATCTAAATCCATCTCTTCTTCTGGATTTTTCACTTAAAGAAGTCAGTAAGTTCTCATTACCTTTTAGGCTAGTTTGAGATTATGTTTTCAGGTACTGGCAAACTAAAGAATCCTAACAGATACAAGGATATATATACATTGTTGTGTATGTGTAGAAAACCTCTGCTATATAAAAAAATTACCACTTTTTTCATCTAAGAAAAATCATTAAAATCAGCAAATTCATGGAGGCAGAGATTTAAAAAATCACATAACTGGAAACTACATCTAGGTTTAACATGAGAATCATTTGACAGTTTCATTCTGAGTTTCCTGAGGTAAAATTACTTACCTGGAAGTGTACTATGTCTATATTCTATCTTGTGCTGCGGATTCTTCCTAAAATATAAAAAAATAAAGAAGGCAAAAATAAGATCTATTTTTCCAATCGCTAAAAATTTGTAAGACTATTTAAATTAAACTCAAACTCTCACTAACCTACAAGTAAAATTAGATCCCAATAAGTGTCTTATTGAAAAGCATTTGCTTTTTTGTTGTTGTTATTAACTATACTTACCATGCTGTATGAAGCATTTGCTTTTTAATTACAACATTTATGAAGTGCCTACTACATGCTGGGCATATTTCTAGATGCAAAGAAATCCTGGTGAACCAAAAATTTTCCCTCAAGACTTACAAGAGAAAAACAGTGTAAGACAAAAGAGAATGTATCATATCCCCAAAATACAATATTATATTTCTAAAATGTCAATGCCATATACCACATATATAAAAATATAATGTAAAGTAGTGTATAAAACATAGAACACAAAGTATCAAATATGTGTGTGTCTGTGTGTGTGTAATGTCTAAGAGGATACTTTTAAGGCTCTTCTTGAATCCAAAGACAAACGCATTTAAGTCATGTCTCTAAAGATTGCCAGTTGTTATGAGGAAACAGAAAAGTTAATTTGCACTGAGAAATTCATATGACATACTCCAAAGTCAAACGGAAACTACTGCTTGGACATCTATTTTTATTATATGTACTTATGATCTCTTCTATTATTTTATTAACTAAGTGCTAATAAAATAGCATTTAGCTAATTAACTGCCCAGGCAGCACAAAATCCAAAGCAGTAATCAGTCGATCATGATCTCCTTGATGAGTAGGCCCTCTCTCTGGGGGCTGATACAGGAGAGCTGGGGGACACTGACAACAGCTGTTGTGAGGATTCATGAAGAACACAGAGTAAGTCCTTAGTCTAAGGACATGATAAATTGTAAGTAATTAATGTTAGCCATTGACACATCCATCACTGGTTCAAGAAATAGTCATGGGGTGCTAATTGCATGTCAATTTCTGTGTCAAGCGTCGGTGACATTTCTTATTGCTAAGATCTCTTCTTTTTTAAGATAGCTTTTCCTACCATATGAGCATTCAATACAAATTAAGATTACAACCACACAGTTAATTAGGGTCATAACTCAACAGTTTTGAAAAGTAGAAAAAAGATTCTACAAAAGATTGTGTATTTGGGGTAATTAACCCAATCTGACCTTTTAATGGAAAAGAAACTTCAAAGTTGAGAGAAATAAACTGGACAATTTAAATGTGGTGAAGAAAGTGCAAATGAACAAAGCTGCAGTGATAATTTACCGGAAGACCTTTCCTTACTGACTTGTTTAATTTAGCCTTAATTAAAATTCAATTAATGCTGGACAAGTCAGGGGAGGAAGAACAGAAACATGAGGGACATTAATATCAAAATTATTCTTCATCAATAATCTAGAAAAGACTGTTGGTCATTTGCGATTATTTTTGGGAACCTTTTAAAAAATCTGTGTGTGTGTGTGGTAAAATTAAACACACTGGTACCTTTTTGTTTTGGAAAAAAAATATCAAACATACCCAAAATTAGCAAGATTAGTACACTGAAATTCCATATTCATCAAGATTCATCAAATGTTAACATTCTACACAGATGCCCCTTTGTTGTTATTATTATTACCATTTACAACCTTTTGAGATTTAAATTTTTTCTTTTTTTTTAATTTTTAAAAGTTTATTTTGAGAGAGAGAGAGAGCGCGCGCGCATACAAGCATAAGCAGAGGAGGGGCAGAGAGACGGAGAGAAAGAGAATCCCAAGCAGGCTCTGCGTCATCAGCACAAAGACAAACGCAGGGCTCAATCCCATATACCTCAGATCATGACCTGAGCCAAAATCAAGAGTTGGACACTCAATCCCCTGAACCACCCAGGTGCCCCCTCTTCTTTATTATCCTGAAACACATTCATAATTGCACTCACATATCCCACCTACATAATCTAACTTAACATAGCCAAACTGTTTCAGAATGAAAGATTTCTAAAAACAAAAAGTTTAATATTTATATATCCCAAAAAGAGCAGAAAAATGCATTATGAAATTTTTTACTCAGAAAACAAAGATTTTCAGCTCCATGGACAGATTTTCATCTGCCTTAGAGAGAGAAATGTTTCTTTGAGGGTCTGATAATAGTTTCCACCCTCTTGTAGAACTTGCTATTTTAAAACAAGCATATAAGACTGCAATGGAAGGGTACTCTTCCACATTCAGAGGCCAAACTCTATCTTGAAAACGAAGAAAAACTATTTTCTGTGATAAGTTCAAAAGTTTCCTGTTTAGGAACTTTGGGATATATACTGGGAAATATGGGATATTTCCAAGTATATTTTCTTTGTTGATGATAAATATAGCTCTCAGCATTGACACACTTTAGGAGAAAAATGAGCCGAAAAAGTAAAGATAGTATATCACATGCAAAAGCACACTCAAAATAAAAACAAATTTTAGACATGTTTTGCTTATGTAACAATTTAAATGTTAAAAAAAAAAAATAAGTATTCTGAATGTTAAACTCTTAGCTTATCTTCTTCTTCAAGGTGCCCATGATCCCAGTCTCAACCTTTATCTGCAGCCCAATCCTTCCTTCATTTCTACTCTGGAAGAGTAGTTTTTAATTCTTTGCCATTGATAGGTACTTGCTCCCAGCCTTTTTGCCAAGAATGTTCTAACTAAACATTGCCTAAGTTCAAATCATACCTCCTTCAAGAAGGCAATGCCAATAATCACAGGGACATAGACCTAGAATATATTATCTATATCTACCATTTGGTACTCACTGCCTAATTTCTTATGTTGTCATCTAAATTTTCAACAGAAATGTGTGTGTGTGTGTGTGTGTGTGTGTGTTTTACCTCTATCATCCATCAAATCAGCCACTGGAAGCCATGGAGTTTTTCTTATACCTTTTAATATCTTTTATAGCAAGGTAGCATTCAACTGTAATAGTAACAAATTTATCTATTAGAATATAATCAACTTTTTCCCTTGAAAAAAGTTTTTAATTAAGCTTTTACATGAGTTTCCAAAATGATGGAATATTTTCTATTTTTCTATTTAATAAGAAAAAAAGAAACTTGTTTTTGCTACCGTTACTATTATTTCTTAAGAAGATAATTGTTGAGGAGTACCAGGGTGGCCCAGTCAGTTGAGGGTCCGACTCCTGATTTTGGCTGTGGTTATGATCTCACTGTTTGTGGGTTTGAGCCTCACTCAGGCTCTTCCCTAACCTAAAGGTGCACAGCCTCCTTGGGATTCTCTCTCTCTCTCTGCCTCTCCCCTGCTCATGCACATGCACACACATGCTTGCTCTCTTTCTCTCTCTCTCTCTCTCAAAATAAACTTTTAAAAAATTTTAAGACAATTGTTGAAAAGAACTTGAAAGAATCATTTCCAATACAAATAAAAGTTTAATGGAATAAAGAAAGCAGTTTCTAGCAATTTCTAGACTGATGATAAGTTTTTTGAGTTCATGTCAATACTTCATTTTTTTCTTTTAGTAAATCCTAATCGATGGATCCTGATGTTTTCAGATATGTCCTTTGAAAGGCAGTTTTTCTACGGGAAAGATGCCAGAGAATGCCTACTCTATTAGGTTGGAAACAGTGTCAAGTGCTGAAACTGGTTTCCATTCACACTTACAAAGTTAATCATCAGAGTACTCACTGAACCTTTTTATACAAACCTAAGCCTAAAATATGTTAGAATTTCCTGCCATTAACCATTCATATTACTTCCCCAGGAAACAATGAAAATGTAACAATCATATTAAGCAGACTTCACTGCAATAAGTTTCCTGAGATACTGACTGCTCAGCATCATAAGACAATTAGTTCTAGTCAATTGTGAAAGGAACACAATAACACAGAGTCCTTCACAAATGACAAATGCTTAAGAGATGGATGCCACTGTGTCTTGGATCGGTTCTCACTTGGCTTGTTAAACTTTGGATCACTGGCATTGCTGTGGAAGGGGCTCAAGTTTCAGGATCAAAAGAGCTGATTGTGAATTTGAACTATGCCTTTTACTGGTTGTGTGATTCAGGACAAGTCCTATACACTGTCATCATTTACTCATCTGTAAAGCAGGGATAGTACTGCTTACCTCACAGGGGGTTGTTCCAAGGGTTAAATGAAGTAATATGTATAAACACTTGTAGGCTATTACCTATTTCAGGTGTCAGCTATTTTTATAAAAATAGAAATTAAAGGGGCTGGGTGCCTAGTCGGTTGAGCATCTGACTTTTGATCTCAGTTTGTGAGCTCAAGCCCCACACTGGGCTCACTGCTGTCAGTGCAAAGACTGCTTTGGATCCTCTGTCTCCCTCCCTCTGCCCCTTCCCCACTCATCCTCTCCCTCTCTCTCTCCCAAAAATAAACATTTTTTAAAAATTTAAAAAAGAAATAGAAATTAACTTTACTTTTAGATACCTGATTTGGCTTTCAGTAATACATGTTATTATGACTGAATATTGTCCCCAAACTTCATATATTTATAGAATATTTTCTAACATTCACATATGCATATCTCATTTTCAAAAATCAGTCATTTCATAACAAGGCAGAATGTCTTTTTCATACAACCCTGGGTTGAGGCTAAGTGGCAATTCTGTGCAGCTCTATGGGGGCATATAAGCATCTGAAATAACTTTCAAGGATAATGTCAAATTCCACTCAGGATTTTTTTCTAATAATGAATGGAAATATTTAGAGTTCATTCATAAAAGATTTACATCCATCTTTTTCACAAATGGCATTTTCTATAACTTAGCAGCCCTCAAAATTCTGAGTTGGTTTTTTTTTCCACATTATTGCTAATTATTAATGGTAATCTTTAATTTCTAAACCTAAAACTATACACCCATAACCACACTGGGTTTCAGAAGTTGTTATGTTTTAAAATACACACTTTCAAAAAAAATTTTTTTTGCTTTTAATGATATTGGTATTTGAATACATACATATCTGAAGGAAGAACACTCCAGGAAGAGGAAATAGAAAATGTCTGTAAAT